ATGTAAGCTGATCTTTCTTATAAAAAAACTTCGAAGAAACCAAAAAGAAAGTGGTATTTCTTCTGTATGATACTCTAGACTATCTTTTATTTTCTTTTGCAAAAGGTTATACAAAGGATCAATATCTTCATTGTGAAAAACTTCTAGCTTTTCGATATCTATAAGATCTTGGAGACCTAATTGCTTGGAAACAGTACTAAGAGCATTTCTTAACTTCTCCATTTTTTCTTCAAGATCTTTCGATCCATTGTAGCTAGCAATTATGCTGCAAACTTTTTTACGATTTCCATTTTTCATTGAAGCAAGTTTAGCAAAACGAACAAAATAACGAATACGTGATCTCCACCTCATTATGAGCTCCCTGTCATTACGTGATGTGCTATAATTCTCTGGAATATCAGGAACTTCATAAAGATGATCAACATCACGTAGCAGATCAAGAAACATCCAAACATGACTATTGTAGAGATGACCAGCAAGACATGAGAGAACGTAAGTTGGTATCTTGTTAAGACCAAGATCCCAAACATTAATGAGGGCTAACCCACACGTATGGCTTTGATCCCATTCAGTAGGCTCATCGTGTTGCTTAATGAGATATTTTTTATGCAGGTCCTTGATAATAGCTGTAAAGTGATCATTTAGATCTTGATTAGAGAATCCAGAAAAATGTGATGGTCGCACTCTAATTCTTTTGTCAGATGACCGAGCCAGATTTTCTACTCCTGCATACATTACTAATGAATACTCTTCGGTTTTTTGTAGTGGAGACATAAACACAATCTTATTGTCGAGTAAATTTCGAGCAGCATACACATCACAAAATCCAATACCATCTTCTGCCTTTAAATCTGAAGCTGCTTGCAAGAGCTTCTTTAATGCTGTGGTTTTCCTGCTGCTTGGTAGCCCACAATTGATCAATAGCATTGGTGTAACCTTCACTTTTATAGTAGAATCTAGCATTTTATCCCTCAGCCAACTTGAATCTACATCAAATAGCTTATCACCTACAAAGATTATATATGAGTATTGTGTGCAGCCATGCAATAATGGGCTAATAAGCAAATCAGTCTCAGGATAATATGTGATTTCCCCATGCATGTTTGTAATATCAGTGGTCCAAAGAATTCACATGCTGTATAGTGGGGAATTTTCGAAGGGGTTAAATTTGATGAATCGCTAAATTAGTGATTGGCAAATTTTAATTTGGCAAATTTGCGGTTACGTCCCTTGAGCATGTATATAATGGCTCAAGATGATAGATTTTATTTTGGCAAATGGCTATCAAAATGCCAAATTCGCAAAATTTAATTCCCTCCAAATTTTTCTGCTATATGGTAATTTAGGGCTGCCGCTGACACATGTGCTTCACGGATTTTAGATCTATATATATATATATATATATATATATATATATATATATATATATATAAGGTGTTCATTGCAAGCATGATGAAACAAGCAATCCTTTGTGCCATAGAATAGTTTATCATGAATGCATTATAATTGTGAATTCAGGCAATGTCACAAAAAGAATAGTATAGGCATGCCATGTTGCCAATGATGCAAGCCACCATATCGCAATCATGAGTAGGCAGTGCTTAGTCACAGTATGCTAGATTCTACTAGTATCAACATAAATTAGACTAATATCGGATGATATTACTTATGGAGAGATGAAAAATAACTTACTTGGATCTGTGGAGGGTTGAGGAGCACTGTATGAATGCAGATCTCTTTCTGCCTTTCCCGTGACGCACTCTTCATATCTATTTCCAGTCTAAAAATAATTATTATAGTCCATTTAAATAATAACTATAATGTTAGATCTTT